ATGGTATCACTCTGCCGAACCCCTCTCTTGACATCAGTGATTACTTCTTTGTAGAATGGTGAGATCCTGGTAGTGAATCCGTAATACAGCTCACAAAGGATCTTGATGTATTGAGCTTGAATGCCCTGATTGGCTAGGGCTTCAATGACCGCTTCCATCTCAATAGAATCAAAGGCCTTCTTTAAATCAATGAACGTTAGACAGAGCGGCATCTTGAACTCCCGAGAAACCTCAATGAGCTTGGTTATCGTGTGGATATGGTTGATGGTGCTGAGTCCTTTGCGGAACCCGGCTTGCTCACATGGTTGTCCTTCATCTAGTGTTCTGCCAATCCTATTCAGGATGACACGAGTGAACAACTTGTAGATGACAGACAATAGGCAGATCGGGTGATAGTTGCCAATGTCATGGATGTCTCCCTTCTTGAACAGTAGTACAGTCCTGCTGGTTTTCCATTGGGACGGAACCTTGCATTCAGACAGGTAGCGTGTGAAGAGCTGAGCCAGCGTATTGATGAGTACTGACGGCAGGTTCTTAGGTGTTCAGGTCTGACCTTGTCTGGGCCGGGTGCTGTTCATTTCTTTACTGACAAAATGGCATGTCGGATTTTGGAAGGGAGAACACTGGGAACGACATATCCATCCTGTGGAATTTGGTTTGTCAGCAAGTGGACATGGCTATCGAAGAGATTTGAGTAGAAATCATGGATAATCTTCTCCATTGCCATTCTGGAGGATGTGATGGATCCATCAGAACGTCAGAGGGCAGTCATCTTGGTCTTGTAGTTGGCGAAGGACAGGCGGGCGTTACGAATACTTTTCCCGGCTTCTGCCGCATCTACCAGCACTTCTGCTCTTCTCTCTTTGAGGTCTTCCTTGATTGCATCTCTGCACTGTTTTGCGAGCTCAGACGTTAGCTTGCGGTTGCCTGAGGCATGCGCCAAACCACGCTGGTGAATAAGCTCAAGAGTTTTCGAAGACAGGTGTTTTTTTGTGGCTATCCCTCTCTTGGCGTTCCTCGCACAATCATGGAGGTGCTGAACCAGTCGATCATATTCCTCGTCAATGTTGTCAACAATGGCATCTTCCCATGTTGCCGCAATAGTGCCAAAGAGCTCCCAGTTGGTGGTCGTTCTGGGAGTTCTCTTTTTAAACTTTGCAGCCCTTTCTCCCCACTCTGTGAAGTAGAATTTTGCACGAGGGAGACCGTGGTCCGATCCCATTTGGAATTTTGGGACAACAGCGACATTGGTCAGGCAAAACCATTGATTGAATATGATGTGGTCTATTTCATTGTGGAATCGTCCACCGGGAGACTCCCATGTCCAACGTTTAGATTCGGCCTTCTGGAACTGTGAGTTACCATGGATGTGGCCCCAAAACCGAAAAATAAATACAAATATAAAAGGTCTAAACTCTGTATTTTCATTCATAAAGATGCTAGGGTTTTCACTCTTCAAAAGATTCATAATTAATTTCCATTTAGATCTATAATTGTCTCATATTACACAGCATATTACACATTTAAAAGCTTTTGTCAGGTGACCATTCTGCTATAATACATAATAAACTGTTTGCAATCTTATGATAACGTGATGAGACCGTCACTTGAGCCTGGAATGATCTGCTCCACCTCTCCCACCTGGGATCACCTGGAAGGCTAGGACTGATAAAGTCTGTGATTAACCACTTCTTGACATGAACCGTAAGCTCTGAAAGCCCCACTAGGTGGTCATCAAGTCACATCTGACTTCCACTTGTCGTTCTAGGGATAAAAGTTAATCCCCACCACCCAATTTCTCTAGACTCTAGATCAGTAAGAACACTGTATTGATGCTTTGTATTCTGTGCTTTCAAAAGAAGAAACAATAAATTATAATAGCAATTGAAACACATACATATATATGCATATATATGTATATATATGCATTTCATTTTCATTCATTTCATCATCCTGTTATTCGTCGATTGCCTCGAGCAGGCCCCAATAACGTCTCTTTCATCCTAGCCCTGAGATTATATTCAAGGCTCTTTAGGAGGAAGAGACCCATCATTGTTACTGGTATTTGGCATATTTGTTACGCCACGGGGAGTTTGCCAGACTCTGCCCTGTGGGCAGGCTACATTCGATAGCCTGCAAGTATATATATATGCATATATATACTTTTTCCTTTGAAGGCAACACTTAAATTCTGGGGTTCCTGGGACCAAAATCAGGTCCTGCCATGCCAGCTACATCCTGGCCAGTGCCTGTTGACTTGCATTTGGGGTGAGGCCGCCCCTCCCCGGAGAATTGCCCTGTGGAATAGGGCACTGAGCACTGCCCCACAGGGATGCAAGCACACTTTGTATACATATAAAGTTGCCCATTACCACCTATTTCTGGTCACTGAGCCTTTGAAGGAATCTGGATTTTCCAGTAAGATTATGAGTAATGCTCACCCTGATAACAGAAAGCACAATAATTTCAGGGCTGTAAGAAAGTAGACAACACCTTCCACATACAATATTTTGCAGCTTAATAAAAGGTTATAGAAAAAAGATTACAGAACAACTATTAATTCCATTTCATCCATTCATTAATCCATCTATTTCTTCTGCCCCTCAGTTATCAGCCAACAAATATTTGCTCAGTGCCAACTGGTTGGCCTGAACGTCATGCTGGATGCTGGGAAGTCCCCAAGAAAAATACCTTTGAAGAATTCCCACTGCCTGTGGGCTGCATTCCCATTGCTGCCTTCTTCCTGCACATTCTGCCTCTAGATTCTGAGGCAACTATGACTAAGAATATTCTAGATAGAAAAGACTCCAATATGGCTGTCATATATTTTTTTCTAAGACAAATGCTTTTGCTCCCTCCCACCCCAGTTGCTTAGGCAAACATGTAAAGTTCATGATCATTTGACTGCCTTTGCCCCACTATCTCACATGTCCTTATAGTGAATTGTCTAGTGTTGTCTAGAGTTGTCTCTACTTCTGCTCCACCTCTCCCACCTGGGATCACCTGGAAGGCTAGGACTGATAAAGTCTGTGATTAACCACTTCTTGACATGAACCGTAAGCTCTGAAAGCCCCACTAGGTGGTCATCAAGTCACATCTGACTTCCACTTGTCGTTCTAGGGATAAAAGTTAATCCCCACCACCCAATTTCTCTAGACTCAGACTGGAGCAAGGAACTGCTCTTTGCAGAAGGAAGCCAAACCTAGGCCTTAGCCAGGACTTCTGAGTCCTTGTCCTTTCCACAGAAAAGAATTTCAAGAGGAAATGAACAGTGAAATAAAAACAAATTTTATTTGGAGGTTTTTGAGGAAAAGGAAGGAGGGAGAGAGAGGAGAGCAGAGGAGGAGGAGGAGGAGGGGAGAGAGAGGGGAGAGAGAGAGACAGACAGAGAGAGAGAGAGAGAGAGAGACCCAAGAGAGAGAACTCAGACTTTTTTTCAAGGTGGAGAGAGACCCAGTATACATCTCAAGAAGGGAGATGTGAGCACCACATGTATCTGGGCACCACATGTGCTTGGCCACATGGACACAAGCAGAACATGGGACATGGGCGTGGGCAGCATATACACAAAGGAGATGGGCTTGGGCAGCATATACACAAATTCCCTTTGATCAAGGGAATTTTACAGTTTTTTTTTTCCCATGCTGTCCCAAGCTTACCCTACCTAGGTAAGGGTCCATTGTAGGATGGTTGCCTGGTTGCCAAGGGGATAGAATCAGAAGTAGTTGATGTTCTTCTTTCCTTGGCCTTTGTTCCTGCTGGAGCTTCTTTTGGAGGGTGTATGTGTGTGTGTGGGGGGGGGAGGGGGGAAGGTTGGCAGCCTTCTCTGGGTCTGATGGTGCCAGATGAAGTCTTACCGAACCTTCGAACCTTCGTTCCTTAGCTCCTGTGTCTGCAAGGTTGGCTCTTTGCAGCCTTGGGCTATTAGTTTTATTACTTCCTAAGAATTCCGTTGCCAAGGGGGCCCTTTCTTATCTACCTGCTTACATCACTTCCTTCCTTCCTTCCTTCCTTCCTTCCTTCCTTCCTTCCTTCTCCTTTCTTTCCTTCTTTCTTTCTCTCTCTCTCTCATTTTATTTATTTTAGTTTTTGTTTTTTGGGCCACATCAGAGGTGCTCAGGACTTACACCGGGCTCTGAACTCAGGAGTCACTTCAGGTGGGGATTCGGGGAATGAAATCCCTAACTCCTAGCTCACTGCAGTCTAGATTTTATACCTCTTACATCTTTGGATTCTAGTCTCTAAACCCTAAATCCAGTGCATTGCTCTCAATCCCTACTCAACAACACTTGGGGAAACATTTACACTGTAATCAATAATGCCCTCCTGCACATTAACTTCTCTTTTTTGTTTCTATACTGTCACCTCTCAGGTCTCCTTCTCCTCTCAATTCTTCTTTCAGGTCTTCACTTCATGGCATGTTCCTTGACTGTTGGTGGTCCGTGAGCTTCTGCCTTCAGCTCTGTCCTTAGTTTCTCTGATTCCTTCAGATGGCTTCAGTTCTCATTACAAATTATCGATCCCTAATCTGTCTTTGTATCTGGACACAAGCATATCCCATCACCTAGTGGACTTCTCCAGTGGTTGGATATGCTATTGATTTTCTCTCATAATATGATTTTGCAACTGATACCTTATCTTATTTCCAACCTGACCATATGTTTCTTCTCTATAGTCAACTCAGAAGGAACTCATCAGCTGTTGCATTGGTAAGTACCTATCCCAAACACTTTCCACCAGCACTCAGTATACTGAAAAAGATCTTGATAATCTAAGATTTTTTTGAATGATGTGTGGGGTGTGGGATACGGGCTCAAGAATATATCTCTCATGTTAAGGACCTGGGGATGCAGTGGGGGCTACGGGTTGGGGGGCAAGGGGTATGCAGTGGGTGGGAAACAGAGCAAACAGTCGTCCTGGCTCACTAATTGTTTTGGTAACTGGGGATTTTACCTGGAAGTTTAAAAACTGATAAGGCACGTTAAAACTGCCCCTGAAAATCGGAACGATTCTCTCTGTTCCGATTTTGTGATAGTCAGGCAGGCTAAACATTGCTATAATAAGACCATACATGCGTCTCTAGATCTAACTCTTTACCTACTTAGCTCAGGTCTTAGAAATGCTAGTCACAATATTGACATCCCAATAGGAGCACCCCAGTAGGAGCACAACAAATTAGATTGGAAAGTAACAGATGCCAAATGAGCTCCGCAAACAGAAACAGTAATAGAAGGTTCAATCAGCACCAAACAACTTAGTCAGTCCTCAGACAAGACTTAACAACCCCATGGTGATATAAAACCATCTTCACAAATTTTCTTTTACCAAACCATTTTTGATAATTCCATTTAGTTGTTAACAAGCGATATAAAAATCAACTGTTTTGTGCCTCCTACAGGGGCAGGTTTGGAGGGTGGTTGGGAAAAGGGAGACAATGGTGGAGGAAAGGTGGCGAACTTGGTGTTGAAACATTAAATGCCCGTAACAACTGTATTATGAATACCTATGTAAATCTCAGTGTTTAAATATAGGTTTCTTTTTTTTTTTTTTTAATGCTGGTGATGAATAAAACTTCCTCTGAAGCCTCCTTTGGCTCTCATCTCCGGGTGTCAGCCGACCTTGGCTGTACATTTCATAATTCAGTTGATTGAGGGCGTGCATGTTCTCACAGAGCAGCACTTGTTTCTGTTTTTGTTTTTAAAGAGGAAACATTGGGGCTGAAGAAACAGCACTGGGATTCCGGTGCTTGCCTTGCATGTGGTGGGCCCCGGAACTCTGCCACAAGCAACCCCTGAGTACAGCCAGGAGTAACCCCAGAACACAGGTAGATATAGCCCTCAACCCCTTCCAAAATGAAATGAGGGGCTGGAGTGATAGCACAACGGTAGGGTGTTTGCCTTGCATGCAGCCAACCCGGGTTCGATTCCCAGCATCCCATATGGTCCGCTGAGCACTGCCAGGAGTGATTCCTGAGTGCAGAGCCAGAAGTACCCCTGAGCATCACCGGGTGTAACCCTAAAAGGAAAAAGAAAGAAAGAAAAGAAAAAGAAATGAAATAAATGAAAAAAGAGGGAACAGTGGCATGGCGTCATTATAATGCGTGACAGAGCACTCTGGTCTCCATTCTTGCCTGTTTTGCACGAAGTGAAAGAGGGAATCTTTTGAGATTGGACAGCCAAGACTAGCTTCCCCACATTCCCTTTGATCCTGGACAGGTTAGCTGCCTCCTCCTGGTTCTCAGGGCAAAGTTTAAGGACTGCTCACTTGGTGCTGACCACACTCCCAGGAGGGAAACAAATCAAACAGGTGGCTTGCTAGTAAAACCGGACCTTGGATGTCTGGGAATGAATGCATGAACAAGCTTATGCTCTGGAGTGACTGAGGCCTGGACACCAGCATCCGGGAAGGATGCTTGGACAGGTATATGGACCCAAGTCACTTTGTGCTCATGGATCTGATCGTCACCTACTCTGGAACGCTGCTCTCACCCTTCCCCTCTGCTCTCATACTCCCCACCTCTCTCCCCCAAGCCTGCAGCAGCCCTGCGGCCAGCAGGCTCTGGGCTTCCTAATCTAGGAAACTAGGAGTCTAGGGCTCCAGCCGATAGCAAGGCTTACTGCTCTTCTCTCCACCCCAGTATTAAGCATCATCTACACCTCCATCCTGTTTTTTGCCAGAATCATCAGGCTCTCTGACACTTGTCGTTTCTGGGGTGCAGTTGGTATGAGGAGGAGAGGAAGGCAGTCTACTGTTTGAAACACAAAACTGAGGGATTGCTTGGAAATCTGGAGGTTCTTTGTCCTGGCTCCCACTGCGGCATTAGTGACATCACCATCCCTGAGAGTTTGAGTTGGCTTCCTTTGGTTAGCAAATTCTTTGGTTTATTTCTTTGAGGCGGGGGGGGGGGGGGGTTGGGGATCACACCCAGTGGTGCTTTAAGGGTACCTCTCAACTCAGTTCTTGGGGGATCATGTGATGCTGTGGATTGAACCTGGGTGCATGCAAAGCATGCATTCCAGCCCATTGAACTAGCTCTCTGATCCCCACTTATTGCTATTATTTTTTGGTTTGGGGATCACACATTGTGGTGCTCAGGGATTATTCATGGTTCACGGGTTACTCCTGACTGTGCTCAGAAGACTGTGTGGTGCCAGGGATAGAACCAGGGCCTCCAACATGCTCTGACCATTTAACTCTGTGTCCAACCCTGTTTTTGCACAGCGGGTAGGGCGTTCGCCTTACACGCGGCCAACACGGCCGACCCGAGTTCGATTCCTCCGCCCCTCTCGGAGAGCCCGGCAAGCTACCGAGAGTATTCGATATGCCAGACACAGTAACAACAAAGTCTCCAATGGAGACGTTACTGGGCCCGCTCGAGCAAATCGATGATCAATGGGAGGGCCTCTTAATTTTTAACACTGATATAAGCTTCATCCTTAAGGAAAAGAAAGTGAGGTGTTTTTTAGTCTTTCACATTTCAAAAGGGGGAATGATTGCAGATTCCTGGGAGAAGAGATAATTTTAGATCATTAAATGTCTCAGTGTTTCCTTTTTAAAGTATTTTATTTTTATAAAGCTGCTCACAATAATTTATTACATTTAATATTCCAATACCAATCCCACGACCACTACCCTTACCCACCACTAGTTTGAATGTTCTAATCCTGCCCCCAAAGCGGGATCTAAGTAATTTATTTTGCATTCTTTGTTATAAATAATACACTAAAAATGATCAAAAAATTTCCTTAGAGGAAAGTATGCAAAGATTATTGTATTTCACTCTGGAGCCATTAAATCCTTATATAAGAATGAGATATTGCGTGGCCGCATTTGCTGTGGGAATTCTAAAATTTTAGATACTGAGATTAACTTAATTTTTTTTTAACTGGATGGTGACTTTGGGTCCTAGAGAAATTTATTTTTGAGTCTCTGGATCATGGCTATTAATGAGCTTATATGGCACCAGAGGCAGTTGCTGGGCATGACAGTCAAGCTACCAGAAACACAGGGAGGTGGGGGGAGGTCGCCCATTCCTGACTCCCTGTGTGCCTGGAGATTTCGGGCACAACTTCTGCATTCCTGTTTTTATCTTCAGATTTATTCATGATTGAGACTCAACCGAGCCTGTGAAAGTTAGCCTTGAGCATGGTGGCGATGGAGTTCTGGAGGTTTTCGGCTGCCAGCGCTCTGTTGGGGCAGGGAGGGGAACTCACCCACCCTCCTCTGGATTGCCTTGGATGAGACACCTGGCACAGGGTCTGGAGGCATCTCTATAGTGTATTGTTTTGTGTTCTCTTCCTGCCTTAGTGTTTTCAAAATGAGGATATTTCCATTTGTTTCTGGTGATAAAAATAATGCACTGCACTGCACTGTCCTCCCGTTGTTCATCAATTTGCTCGAGCGGGCACCAGTAACATCTCCATTGTGAGACTTGTTGTTACTGTTTTTGGCATATCGAATACTTCACGGGGAGCTTGCAGGCTCTGCCCTGCCGGCGAGATACTCTCAGTAGCTTTCCGGGCTCTCCGAGAGGGGCGGAGGAATCGAACTCCGGTCGGCCATGTTGGCTGCGTGCAAGGCAAACGCCCTACCGCTGTGCTATCGCTCCTATAGCACAGCGGTAGGGCGTTTGCCTTGCACGCAGCCAAACAAAAACAAAAGCAAAGATATAGACATTCAAATTTCATCATTTTCCGTAATTTTACCACTTTCTATGCTATCGGAGTTATTTGTTTATCTCTATGGTAGAAAATATTGTGTGATATTATTGTGTGATGTCTTTCTAATTCTAGCATTCGATGAGATCAATATCTGTAGCTTGAAATCTACTATTATTTACACATCAAAAGTTGGCAGCCACTACAGAGCCAAGCTGCTTTTATTCAGTAAATTGACTGCCAAACATTTATCACCATTGCTTATAACTGTCTCTTCTTTAAAGATGATGAAACCTAAGGATTAATGAGGTAAAGTGATCTACACAAGGCCATGCAAGTAAGTGAACTCCAACTGTGTTTAGACCCAGACAGTCAGCCACTAGAACCAATTTACTAAGGGAAGGGGGAGATGAGAGGGAACCTTGAGACTGGTGGAGGAATTCAGACACTGTGGTGGTGGGAGTAGAAACATTTGTTTTTATTTTTTCAATTAGCAATAATTGTGCCTGGAATAAGCCTGATTGGCTATGATACTGGCACAGTGCAAAGCTAAGGGTTAGCAACAGTGTACGCCTGAAACATTACTATAATATTGTAAATCAAGGTATCTAAATTATAAATATTTTTTTAAAAGCCCTGGTTTGAATTTGTTTTCTTATTTTCTTTTAAAATAATAACAAGCATTCCCAAAGCTAACATTCTGTTTAGCTACTTCCCCTGTTGGAATGCCTGAGTACAAGGAGAAAAGTTATCCCTACCTTTCTCTAGCTCCCAGCCTAATCCCTCCTGAGCATTGCCTGCTCACTCCTTCTAGATCCATCACTCCATATTTGGAGATGCCTTTGAGTGCTTATTTAAATGGGCTGGAGCGATAGCACAGCGGGTAGGGCGTCTGCCTTGCACGCAGCCAACATGGCCGACCCGAGTTCGATTCCTCCGCCCCACTCGGAGAGCCCGGCAAACTACCGAGAGTATTCGATATGCCAGACACAGTAACAACAAAGTCTCCAATGGAGACGTTACTGGGCCCGCTCCAGCAAATCGACGATCAACGGGAGGGCCTTACTTAGGGCCTTACCACCTTGGGACTGGAGAGATAATACAGTGGGTAAGTGGTCTTGCATATGCCCAACTTGGGTTCAATCTCGGCCATCCTATACGATCCCTGGAGCATTTCCAGGAGTAATTCCTGAGTGCAGAGCCAGCAGTAACTCCTGAGCATTTCGGGGTATGACCCAAAAACTAAACAAACAAATAAATTGATCATTTCATCACTGTCTTGTCTGGAATCCATTTTTACCCACTATTCCCTCTCCCCACAATCTCTTCTTTTGTTCGAGATTGAAGATTAAACCCATTTGTCCTAATCCCCTATTTTCTGTTTCTTTCTGGTTTGAGAAGCCTTGGTACAACAGTTAAAAATACTCAAGCAATGATGTCTTAAAATTTTTTTTATTGATATCAACATGCATGCAAA